GCACACGAACCTTGTCCTCTAGGACCTTGACCATGGCAAGTCGAAGGGACCGTGTGATTCCAGCTTCGGAGCAGCAAAGCGCGGTTGCTATCATTCCCGATATGTGCCCATCCACCAGATTCAAGACTCGCGTTTGACAACCGGCCACACGATGAACATCACACATCTGATGAGACACGGTGCCGTTCAAGACGGCACTCAGATATCTCTCAGCTTTGATGTTCGCCGTGAATCTGTCCGTGCAGGTTAAATCAACACGGAGCTTGCATCGCTCCGTGAGGTCTTCCAAACAGGGAATCATTCGGAGAAGGGCACCCTGACAGGCCGCGGTGTTCTCTGCAGTAGTCCTGTCTACTGCCTGAAGCCATGACTGACATGGCATGTTCAAGGACACATACCGATCAGAAGGCACGTGATGCAGGAGCACGGTGACATCCATCTGGGTCTGCATAATTTTCGCTGCCCCCGGGTCTTCTTTAGCCCTTGCTTTCCCTGCCTCAGAATGAGACATCCAGGATGCCGTGACCCTGCTTGGTGTCTCGTCGTACAGTCTCCGCACTGACACTAGAACGGCTCTATACTCCGGGATGACACCCGAAATCAATGCCATGATAGTTGCAAAGAGCAGGCCCATCAAGTAGCCGGCGAAATGAATCAGGAAGCTGGCACCCCACATCATGCACCTTGTCAAGGTCTGCCTTGAAGCATTTGTCGCAAGGTTGGCCTCCGACAAAAGACTCGTGGTATGTCGTCGAGAGTGGAACAGCTTAAAACATGACGCCAACGTGTCATCAACGACAGGTAGCACAGAATTGTCAGATTTCAATACTGCCCTTGCCAAAGACTGCTGCAGATCGGTCCCTATCCAGAGAAAGCGGAAAAGCGGTGCTCCCGCGGCCGGAGCTTCGGATGACACGTCTAGGGTCTGCTGATTCTGTCGGCATAACCGTGCATGTGCTGCTCTCTTGTGTCCTGGAAGAACTTTCCAGGGCTCCGGGTCTGGCTCATCATCAAGCTCATCAAGCTCCCTCTTCATAAAATCACGGAAACCCGCACGGCCCTTGGGTCTGCCAGGCCCTCTTTTGCCGGAGGTCATGCAGGCAATGGACACACCATTCGTACGATGCAAGATTCTGCAAGATCTTCTACCGCCTCAAGTCTAGAGTCTAGACTATACGGTTATACGAGTCCGCAATGCTAGAGTCTAGAATGGAGAAGCTGAAGTCTTGGATCTTTGAAGATGGTTGCGATTATGTCCAGGTCAGTCCTATATGGCCTACGCCAATGCCTAATTGTGCAGCTTTGGTGCAAGCCATCAATAACAATCTCAGATACCAAAGATCACTGGGGACAGCTGGGGTCAGGCCACCTGCTCAACCAGACTCTAGACTAAACTCTAGACATCCCACACCCGCGCATACCCTGCAATCCTTCAAGCAAGCCTACCAAGGGAGCCAACGTCAACCACGGAAGAGGGGCCATGTCTCATCGTTTGTTTCTCACCTTGACTGAATGCTTAGGGCTTAGGGCCTAGGGCTTAGGTGTAACCTGTTCAACCCGCAACCGCCGACAGGCCCTGTTCAATCCATGAAAGGCAACACCCAAAGTCTCAATCCAGTATCCATACCAACCGCACGCCACAGGAGAAACCCTGCCCTATCCGGTCTAACCTAACCTACACCACTCAGCAGCAAGGCAACGCACAGCAGAAGGCAGTCCTGCTTCGCATCAATTTCACCCAATCCTGGTACTCGGCCTTCAAGGTCAAGACGTGGTAGCCGGGCTTCTTGAGTTGAGCCAGCTGCTGACGGACCGAGTGGATGAACCTGCAAAGGTAAGGTTGGTGTGCACTGTATGATGATAGGATAGAGTCTGACAGAGCTGACGTGTGTTGGCGAACTTTTGTGACTTCGGTGCTATTCCCAAAACATGAGCAGCTAGCAGCTATCATGGCAAGGAGGTTGGAAAGAGACGGGGAATCACGACAGACTCGGCTTTTTCTAGGTATTCTAGGTCTGGTAGTCTGCGACTGGGGCTTCAAGCTATCACGTTTACTTTTACTGCTGCTGCTACACTGCTACACTTACTACACTTGCCGAAAGTCCAGTTGCACAACCTACAGCACACTCAGTACACAAGCCTACAAACACAGCAATCACAGCAAGCGTGGCTATCCTGCTAACCAGCCCACGGCGCAAGAAACCTGAAGACCAGTGGACCCCGACTGCGATGCCCGAACTTCAAGCGCCGGCCTTCGCATGAACGTGGCATCTTCCGAAGCACCAGAGTGTTCAGGCATGTCAAAACCCGGAACCTGCTCCATGATGACAGCTTTGTGCTGGCCCAACACCAACATGTCTCGGGCATCCTCCATGGTTACACTGACGAGGTCGTGCGAAGCAACCGAATTTTCATGATATCGCTTCCCACGGAACTGTGAAAACGGAGGGCAAGGGGTCCCGAAGACACAGACATCACAAGATTCCAAAGCACACTTGGCATCGGGGTGGATGAGGCAACCACGCCCCTCGATCTGGTCCCTCATGCAGCAGTGAACATGCTCCGGTTCATGATTAGCCAACAAGAGGGATCGACTTGCAGCTTGGGTCTCGGAAACGCCTTTCGCGATGAAGGGGATGCCCAGTGCCTGAATGGAGTTCTCATGTGAATCGATGTGCTCTTTTAGAATCTAGAAGGACTGACACTACGACGACTTCATATGTGACTCGTCACTAGATCGAACCGTCCATAGAGTCACTCGAGATCTAAGTGGGCTATCACTATCAGACTATCATTATCCCACACCATTGAACACTATTGATTGTCACTCTCGGAGACCGACGCCTAGTCTAGAGTCTAGAGTCTAAGGCCTAAGGTACGGTGGCATGGAGAGGCATGCAGAACCACACAGCCACAACATTTCGCATGGATTTGCAAACAATCGTCAGGACTGTGCCCCAGTACCCCCTGCAACGGCCCCTGCAGCCCACTCTGACGCTCTTACAAGCCCTCACGCCTCCAAGACTGATGCCTCTGCAAAGGTTCCAGTGCAGCTAGACATCAAAGTGATTGGTGAGGCTCTCGGCACGCCCCTCGCTTCCCACTGACGCAGGTGCATTTTGACATCGAAGATGTACCACTCCTCGGCAGTAACTCAAGCTCGGTAGGACGACGGGCAAGGTCAGGGTATGTTCTCAGACGAGGCTTGATTCGGCTTGTGATGCGGCTTGATATGCACTGCGAGGGCCAGGGGTCAGTCAGATGGTAGGCTTCAGACTTTGGCACAAAAAACCAGAACCCTTACTGCAAGAAGCTCCCGACTTCACACACCTAGGCCTAGGGCCTAGGCCAGGGACCTAGGACAACGCATAGGCATAGTCCAACAAAGCTTGCCTTGGTTTTGAATGGGTGTGACTGCTGAAAAGCTTTCAGGGGAATGGCGGTGTGGGGTACTAGGACACTAGGCTTATGGCTTATGCCTATGGCTTGTGGCTTTCTCCAACTCCACTCTCAGTCGGCCCTAACAGCCCTAACACCTCAACATCTTCACGCAAACACACGTTGTGGAATCCTGTTACCAACTCCCACATGTCCAAAGCTCCCCACAAAGCAGCTGCCATCTCAAGCCTATCAATGCACTTTGCGCTCGATAGACCACTCTACATAAGACCTCTAACTCTAACAGTTCTATAGGAGTCACGCCTAAAGTCACAGCAAACTGCGGGAACCCCCACGCTGACATGTCCTAGCAAGTCGTAGTCGTAGCACAAACCGCCAGCCGAAAGTAATTGCAAGTACAACAGCACGAGGCAATGTTCAATCAAGGCACATCGGAAGTCTGAGACGACATGGGGATCGGGCTGGGCTCTGTTTCCGAATCTGAAGCATCACGCATAGCCTCTGCCTCCGAAATTTCTTCACACTCTTGATCCCAGCTGTCCAAGGCAGACTTGGCGAGCTCCTTCCAGCCCATCATGATTGCCACAAAGGGGTGTTGTGCTTGGACGGCTCTTGTGGCTCGTGATTTTTTGAACACCCTAGGGCCAGGCGCACGTGCTCCTAAACGTCCTAAACTCGTGTTTCTAACGTAGCGGACCACAGTGGACCTATGCTGTCAATAGGCGTCACTTCTAAGATGCCAGAGAGCAGAAACAGCAACAACATCAAACAATTTACAAAAGCTCCCCAAAATGGTCCAAGCCATGTCTTGGTTGCTTTGTCAAGCAAACGAAAAAAAACGACGTCTCCATGGGTTCCCACAACTTGAAAGTCGATTACTGTAATGGAATGATGCGGTTGCTCCGGTTTACACCGTTTGCCCAACTCCGAGACTACCTAGGACCTAAAAGCAAGCCTCGGAGAAAAACAGCGGTGTCTGCAGTAGAGTCAAAACATGCGAGCAACCGAAACTGAGCAATGGCACACACACTGGCGCACACACTTGGAAAGCCCCAAGTTTTGCATCGGCCCACGGCTGTCAAAAGCTGCTGCTAGCATAGATGACAACGTCTGCCCCCACAGCATCTGCCTGGGCCCCGAAGCCATCTTCCCTAGCCTTGGAGCACTTCGGCCCACTGCACAAAAATTTTAGAAGCCCGGAAAGACGAGGGGCAGCTGTAAAAGAGTCAAGAAGGAGTGCCCGGAGCACCATCTGACAGACGGGCCGTATGCTCCGCCAAAGTATGCACAACCCTACTCATCTGCTGCTGAAGCCGGTCAACGTCGAGGACAAGCTGGCAAACTTCACCCCGAAGGCGAACCGACAACTGCTGCAGATCCTGACCAAGCTCCTTGAGGGTGTCAAGCTCACCACGAACAGACTCCTGATCTTCCAGGCGCAGATTCAGAACGTGTTCAACGCTGCACACCTTCTCGAAAAGAGCTTCGATCTTGGCATCAAGCTGCTGGAGGTGCACTCGGTCGAGTCCTTGCCGGGCTTCGAGGACATCCATGAGCTCAGCAGCATCAGCGGGAGCATCAGCGGGAGCATCAGCGGAAGCAGCAGCATCAGCGGTCTCGACGGGCTCTTCGGAACTGCTCTCCATGCCACGGCCCTTGCCCTAAACTGCCCTAAACTCCTAAACGTGAAGGATAAATCCGTGGCCCCTCGGCCAATGCTTCGGCGGACGAAGATGATCGAACGTCCCAGGCCCACCCATGTGCACGCGAAGCGTGATACAACAAAAGAACGAAAGGAATTTGTGCAATAGGACCTAGAATTGTGAAGCCGACTCTGCCTAACTCTAATGGTTGTTGGACGTTTTGAATTATAGGAAAAAAGATGGTTGTTACACGCACTGGAAAGCACCTCTTTGTGTATGTATGTGTATGTCTGTGGTATTTATATACTTATGTCGTCTTGATTTACTTAGAGAAAATGAATAGTGAATAGCAGTTTAACAGCATATGAATGTTATATTGAGCCGGTTGTTTATGCATTTACAATACACTCACTGCATTTTTTGCATTTTTTGCATTTTTTTTGCATTTTTTTGCATTTTATTTGCATTTTATTTGCATTTTTTTTGCATTTTTACAAGGGTTTTTGTCCAAATCCCATTTCACACGTCCATTTTCGGACCCATTTTTTTTGCA